ATTGATTCGCAACAAATGCAAAGGTCCTCCATCAATATTATATTATCAATAGGTCAATGGGTTTCCTATAATTAAATGCAAAACAACTGCGTACGATGCGCGTATCTGATGCATAGCTGTTCGCGAGCAGCAGTGCGAACCTTCTAGAAGCATCAAGGCCTTGTCGAAGGACATAGTCAGCCGGTAATTGTTGATGCCGATGATCAAAACATTGGCCTACGTGACAAACAGCATTGTTTGTACAGCAACGACGTTCGCACTGCTGGTCGCTCCTGATAGGCCTAATTAAATCGCGAGATCTATTGACAATTGTCATTCGTGGATCCATCTCCTTTTCGTTAGAAAAGGACCAACGTTCCGGTGCGCGCTCCGAACGAGAGACCAGTCAGTCGAATGCGGGAAACGTGCGAGCGAGTATTAAGTCGGTTCTCTAAAAGGTTAATAAGGAGGTGTGGGAGTCAGAACGGAGTCCGCGCGATTACGGGTCTTCGCGATCCGCGTAAAATGTACGTGGTAATTAAGTGACTTTGCTCATTAAAGATCTTCACGTCAATTGTCGTTCAGTCTGATTTTACCGGCACCTATCAGTCACAAGCTGATTAGTGTTCCGAGCCGTCGGTGTGATAACGAAACAAGATTCGCTCCCCGAGCTATCGGAGGCGTACTCGTGAACATTAGTTTTGAAATGTAAGATGCGATCAGCGTACAAAATTAACTTTAACGAAGCGGTGCTGCGAAACGAAAGGTATTAGCGCTGTAATAATTTTAATACCAACGGCAGAATAATTAAAAGATGTAATCAAAGCACTTTAAGGGAAATACGCTTTGCGCAAATATACACCAAATCATCCCCAATCGATGCAAATTATTATTGATTCGCAACAAATGAAAAGGTCCTCCATCAATATTATATTATCAATAGGTCAATGGGTTTCCTATAATTAAATGCAAAACAGCTGCGTACGATGCGCGAATGAAATTAATGAATGAAATTAATCTTTCCGGTTACCGAATCAAATTGGATATGTCTGATGAAGGTCGTATACAGGCCGATCGGCGGAAATGTGCTCTTACCGAGGGAGGCGTCGTAAGCGCAGATGTAGTCGCTCGTGGTGAATTGCGCCGTGAGAGCGGTTTTCCCGACTTCCGATGCGCCCAGCATGCCCACTTTGTAACTAGCCACGCTGCCGGCGTCCTCCTCCGCCTCTATGCCGGAGAGCTGCGAGGCCGAGCTGGGGAAACGAGAAAAGGGAATGAAAATCCGAAGCGTGTGCGAAGCGCGTTGCGCGATATACGCAAAATTGCGAATGAATCACGCTCCGCGGGGCATCGCAATTTATTCATTCATACGCTAATTACGCAATTATGATTTGGTCGCGACACTCGTCGCTATTGTAAGAGATACGCGCGATACGCACGGCGACGAGTACAATCCTTTGTTAGGGTAATAGCGACGACAATTTTAGTCGGGAAATACGCTGTTTATTCAAGAAATATATATATATACACAATTCCGACAATTTTTATTAAGCTCACTGAGATTATTGTCGCTATTATGCGCGATGCCATTCACTTTTTTTACGATTCCGTGTCTCTCCGACTGCGAAAATGCTGTGAAAAATATGGAACGACCACGTGTTATATTTGCAAAAATTCAAATTAATATACTTAAAAGACTATTAATAATGTTCCCTCGTTATTATCAGCGTCATTAGAATATTCATTTCTATGTGTTATACTTTGTATGTAAAATCATATAAGCGCCCGTTTCTATTTCTGAAATAAAAAGCACAAAGAGAGCGAGTAAAACAGAAAGCGCGATTAAAAGAAATAAAGACCTATAAAATGAAAATCTGCACTTTTTAGAAGCAAGATAAAAAGTTACGGAACGCGATATGCCGCAAAGCACGTTGTAATGAATACCGAAGACATCATCTTTCTAAACTGCGTCTGTCTTCTTTTTTTCGGAAAAAAATCTATTCGACAAAAAATTTGCGAGACTGTATTTCGCATCTCGCGCGATCCAAGTTATTCGCGGTTAGACCATACGTCGGTGACGGCACAATGCACGTTTCGTCTTCAGTCTATCTCGTTCAATTCCACGGATTTCCACGGCGAGGAAGCACTCTCTAAGATTATACGACGCGCCGCGTCGTTTCGCCCACGCGTTCGATCGTTCGTCGCCGCTTTTTGTTGCAGCACGTTTGCCCGGGATGATCTTTTGGGATTCGACGACGTTGAAAATCGTCGTGCCGGGGGAAAATGCGCGCGGGGCAACGACGAGACGGATAGCGCCGTTTTTAATCCCTTTAAAAAGAACAGCCGGAAAGATGACTTTCTTTACGGCGATGGTCCGTCGAGCCTGTCGCAGCGCGACCGGATGTAGTTTACGCGGCGTGTAATTACCTGACGGGCAATTAAGACGCCCTTAAGTGGTCGGCGTAGTCGCGATTATCCGAAGTTTGCACTCGCATGGAGAAGTCGACAGGAGTAATTGAGCGCGCTGTTAACCGAGAGCATGCGAAGACCAAGTGGAAGACGATCCGCCGAATATCCAGCACTGCTGCAGGTTACATTACGCGATGAAGCGTAAATAGCCGTGCGGGAAGATTCGAGATATCTCCGTGAGTCTCCGAGACAGCTCCTCAAACGGAAGTTACTGGCGATAAATTTAGATTCGGCATGTCAACTTTCGTGTCAAAGGCAAGCCGTTCTCGCAGGCAATTTCTAATTTGTACAATCAACTGTCTGTTAAATCAGATTTCCCCTCGCAAGTGCGACGAGCGCGCGATAATAATATTCCTTGTAATTTCGTTTCGCGCAAATTTTGTTTTGAAATTCCTTATGAAAAAGAAATCTCGCCTCTTTTTCTCTCGATTTTCGAGAAATGAACTAATGAAATAAACTGAGAATTATTCATATTATGCATCTCGGAGGAATCTATGTTTTACTGTAAAGCTATGCGAGAGGAAATATTCCACGCATTTTTCTTTGTTTTCCGAACTGGCGACGTTGTTGCGACGAAGTTGTCGAAGAAGAAAATAAACAGCCGGTATCCGGGATGGAGATGAAAAATGCGGAGGTGGATACACGCGCGTCTGCACGTGTCCACGTGGAAGATTATTTCCTAACGCGTCTCTCTTTTTCTCTCTCTCTCTCTCTCTCTCTCTCTCCTCGTTCATATGTAAATTATACTTTTACGCGCTACATTTATATGCGGTAGCCATAGAAACGAAGGTATCCAATTACAATGTTCAGCCGTTGTTTAGTTTTAGCCGCGATACCGCTGTAACCCTTATTATTATTATTATTCGAACAATATTCATACAAAAGAGATTATAATTATCTCCGTTCAGGCTCGCGTTCCCTTTAGCTAGCTGCATTAAATTGCACGGACCGAGAGAGTCTAGTCATTAGTACAATAATTTGGAATTACGGATACTTCCGCGCATAGTTGTGCGAACGCGCTGTTTATTTATCACACAACTTTCCGAGTAACGGAAACAATAATTCATCGGAAGTTCAATATTCTCGGAATAATTTCAAAATAATTTTCAGGGGTGTTGAAATGCGGTCGCGGCGGATCACGACATCACGAATGGTCACACGTATTTCCCCGCCCCGTACGATACTATACTGTCATATTATTCTCACCTAAGCAGCCTGACGTCCCGGGTGCTGCTGCAACTGGTGGAGGAAGTGACACTGTTAATGCTCCTACTGCGACGCGTCTTCAATAAATCGCCCAAGTTGAAGACCCCGTTCGCCGTGATGGAGAAGGATCGAAGCCTGTAATATTCCACGCCGTCTTCAGTTTCACCCTCTTCGCCACCCGTTGCGCCGCTGCGTTTTGTATCGCCCAACATTGGCTGCAACAAGCAATAATTACGATCAATTACGGCCGCTTGCGCAAATATTTATTTTATACTTGATTACTTTGGAGAGAGAGAACGAAATTTGATTTGAAAGATTAAATTAGTGAAAAAGTATCTATTGAACAATAACAATAAATAAGTTAAACAAGTATCTGCGCATCATTTTTTTTTCGTCGCAACATTTAATCTTAGATTTTTTCTGTTCGGCGCATGCAATCGACAAATTGCGCTTTGCACTGCGGTAATTTGATGCGATTTGTCGACGCGCTCATTGATGAAATTACAAACTGCACGACGTAAATTGATGTATGAAGTCTAACGCGCTTCACTGAATAGTGCGTACCATCGATATGTATCGATCATTTCATGTCGTCTTTCATCACTGCAAAATGAAGCGGAAAGAGACGGAAGAGAGGTGCGCAACGAACTCTTGAGCGCATATTAGGGTCACCGCGAATCCTAACGCATTCACTGATCGATGCAAACGCGTTCGCTGACGTATTCACAACGCATTGTCCCGACTCAGCTCGCAAGAGTTTCAACGAATTTGTGAACGAATGTCGATTTGCGTTTCATCGATACTTTCGTATCATGCCTCACTTCCTTCCTTTATCAAGTTCATTCCGCTTCTCAGATTGCAATAAAGCATAAAATAAATATTGACCACGTCACTCTATAAAAATAGTACGATTAATCTTCTGTTGTTGAAATCTGTTCTGCTCACGCTGAGAAGACTTAAAGCCAACCAATGTTTACGTCATGTCGAAGAACAGTTGCATACGTCGCCAATACAAATTACATCGACGCACCAATTTGCTGAGTTGTGAATTATTTAACGGGACGAGAACGTAGGACAATTATTGTAATCATCCACACAATTTTGAGGCAAAGGGAATATTCGAAGACCTAATTAACCCTGGAATTAGTCGGTTCAATTTAGACGGAATGTTGAATTGCATTAATTAATTAAATGTTTTTAGATGATAGCGATCATATAAAGTTACAAACAAATTTGACGATAAACCGAGAAAATAGCGTATTTTATAACCGCGTCTACATAAATTAGCAACAATTAATTCGGACGTATTTGAATGTTTGGATAATTAAAATGTTTGGATTAAATTAATATTTTAGTCAATATTACAGTTTAATATTGAAAAAAGAGAGCAAAAGAGAACTTTCACGATAACATATGTACGTAATAACGTATACGGTATTCTATGAATATAGAAAAAGGTCTACTATTGTAGTACAAGGAGCAATTTATCTCAACGCAATTTACTCTCCCTCAATCCATGATGGAAGTACCAAATTTTGCTGAGCTCGGAAAAAACGCTAGGGACATCTTTACAACCGGCTACCATCAAGGCAAGGGTTTTATCAAGTTCAATGTCAAGACGAAATCCAAGAGATTTCACATGATGAGTGACACAATTTTGAATTTTGAGACGTCGAAGGTAATTTTACGTTGTACAACGTGTCACGATAATTATTTTTACACAATTTTTTTTTCAAAAATTCGATAGAAAAATAAATTTAGGCAAATCCAAATTTCATTCGCATTACGTGAGTGATATCGTTCAAGCGTATTTACTTATTGTTTATTTATTTATGAAAAAAGCAAACAAGCGGCGCGGATTGCTACTTATCTTGCAAAAAATTTTGTGAGGAAATATAGCTGAATTGACTATTTCAAACGGCAATATTTACTTTTAATTACACATCGGATTATGTAGCCGATATGTGCGTCTCGCTGAACTCGAACACGTGGCGATTGCTCTCTTAAAAGGGGAAAAATCCGCGGAAATACGTACAGATTTTTATCCAAATATGATGTATATATTTATACGTTGCGCAGTATAAATTATATTTATATATCAATATTTTAATATACAAATATGAACTATTATTTTATAAATAAGTTTAATGAACAACGCTTAATTGTCTTTTTACAAGCGTTTCTCACACCGATTGAAACGGAAATATTATATACTATATTATGCTAGAACAATAGCAATAACCAAACAATCTAAGAAACAAGCATTGTGAAATTGAATGATTTATTCACAATAACACAATTTGGATAATTTTATTCACAATAAACTGATGATAGTTAAGCGGTTTAATGGAAACCAAATACAAGGCAGACGCAGGAGCTCTATTGTTGAAATGGACGACCGCGGGCGTGCTTCTTCTGGGATACGAGTTTAATGGACTGCTAATGAAGGGCGTTGATTTGCTCTCCGAGTGCGCTTACAATCCGGAAACGACTGCGAAAAGCGTGAAGGTCGGCTCGAGATTCGCCAGCGAGAGGCTCAACGCGCACTGCGAGATCTGTTGGTTATGTCAATTTCATTAGACTTAAGTAATTTTATATTAATCGGACGCGGTGGAATTAAAATGTTCCCTCCTGTCTGATAGAAGCGCCATTATCACATTTCTCGGCAAGATTTCAATTTCAATCGTTCTGCCGCGGACAATGCTCGTAGGTTTCCCAGGCTTCTCTGTGAAGCGAGCGGTAAAATTCGCGGGGCAAAAATTCATCCTCTATTTATAAGTTGTGCAAAGTAACGGCTTCAGTTAGGCTCGCTACCTGCGCGACGGATGAAAGGGCTTTACATTGTGTTCATATTTTTGTCTAAGGGATAAAAAAAGATTAATTATACTGTAACCCAAACCTTCCACCGACCTCGTCGAGAAAAAGTCAATTAAAGCCGCACGTTTTTGAAAAGAAAATCTCTTCAGCTCATATAATTAATATACTACAATATTGCGAAGCGTATTCAACAATGTTACATGCAAAACACTCAGCGGGAATCTTCTTTCACTTTAAAGCGAACTAATTTCCAAAACTGCGAAATGTGAGTGGCATATTCTTTTTCCAGAATAAAATATTTCGTCTGCAAATTAATATATCGGGTACAAAAAAATTACCGGAGCGTCGAGATACCTTTTCTTCGTCTTTAATTAATTACCTCGGCAGAAATAGTAGACACACTTGTACGATTTTCCTCCATTTTCTCTCTCCGGCGATAAATATAGAAGCTTAGTATAAAGATCGAACACGTGAAAGCGACTCGCTCGCTCATCTTCGATTACTTAGTTCGACTTTTCCTTCTCTCTCTCTCCC